GACTAAGGTAAGGATCATCAGGGGCTAAGGTAAGAATCATCAGGGGCCAAGGTAAGGATCATCAGGGGCCAAGGTAAGGATCATCAGGGGCCAAGGTAAGGATCATCAGGGGCCAAGGTAAGGATCATCAGGGGCCAAGGTAAGAATCATCAGGGGCCAAGGTAAGGATCATCAGGGGCTAAGGTAAGGATCATCAGGGGTCAAGGTAAGGATCATCAGGGGCTAAGGTAAGGATCATCAGAGGCTTAAGGTAAGGATCATCAGAGGCTTAAGGTAAGGATCATCAGGGCCCAAGGTACTACACTGATGTATTTACAAGGGACATTAGGTGTGCGCCTGGAAGTCTTTTCCTAGGTTCCTAGCAATATGGCTATCAGACCGTACTCTTTCTTTTATATTTGTAGGGATCAGCAGGACAGACAGGAGCACCAGGAGAACGTGGAGCACCAGTAAGTAGGGGCATTTGAGTACGTAAATATGGTGCAAGTGTGCAAGAAACAATACTCCTTATCCGGGGTTGACAATACGAATCTCAGGTTCACTTCACTGTCTTGCGCGCATTACTTACCAAAATTATGTATATTACTTACCAAAATTATATAACTAAATATGTCTATGTATCCCTGTGTATAACTGTGTATCTCTGTGTATGTTTAGGGATCACCAGGACCACAGGGTCCGCGAGGATTGCCTGGATCTGATGGAAGCCCGGTACGTCATTATTCCTTATATCTAAAACGAAAGAAAAATGTCAAACTATTTTATGTCCATCATATTTCCACTAAAAGGAGATAACATTGAACAGTAAAACTCTAGCCTCGTGATGATTAATACAGGATTTAATTAAAACACTAACTGACAAAATAGAACAAGGTGTTAAACAAAAAAGTTTATTTGAAGTTATTTTATAATTTAGGGCGCACAAGGAAAAACAGGACCCGGTGGCTTGCCTGGACCTCGTGGTGAACCTGTAAGTATCAACTATCACCTCGCCGCGAGCGCTTCACATGGCCAGCCGAGCGCTTCGTAAGTTCGCTGAGTTTGCTTCATGGAGCTACAAATGGGCTTTAATGTACCCTTACAGCGCTCGACACGCACAAACGAAAGCAACGTAACGCTATCACCGCTTTGGGGAGACATAGTTAAAAAATATAGGTGAAAAAATATCAACTGTCACTCTAGGAAGACTTTTACATTACGTTTTCTTGGAAAAACCCACATCCAACAAATTGCTTCAATGCACTGAAAAACTTTAATAATCTATTTATTTTATCGCAGGGTAACCCAGGAAAACCAGGAAACCAAGGACCAAGTGGCTTGCCTGGATCGAGGGTAAGTATATAAATATATGTCCTTGATTCTTGCAGAGACTCTGCTCGGAAATTAAATCATTAGCTACATGGACATCAACTTCTGCAGAAACCTTACATGATATCTATTGTTTTCTTGGGATGTATAGGGACCTCAGGGTGAGAAAGGGCCACAAGGTGAAACGGGACAACAGGGTAGAAATGTAAGTATCGCTTCTTCAATGTTGAACTATCGCTTCTTCAACATTTCGTACTAATTAGCATAAATTACGTAGTAATTAGCACAAATTACGTACTAATTGGCATAATTTATGTACTAGTTAGCATACTTTGCGTGCTATTTTTTTCCTAATAACCATAATCCGAGTTCTAACCGTAGGAAAGTTTATTTAGCGAATTTTTTATTACCCAGGGTGCACCAGGTCAATCTGGAGCGTCGGGAGAGAAAGGAAATGGTGGGGCCAAGGTAATACTTCATCTTTTAGACATATAATAGGGCCATTTATACGGGCGAAAATAATCCGCGGCCTAAAAAAGCCGCAACTTATTGCAAATTGACCGTTTATACGAGTCGTTTGTGACCTATTTAAACCGCCGTGGCTTATTTTTGCTCGTATAAGCATCGCAAATGTCTAATCATAGTTTGCTTGTAAAATCTGCAAGTATTTTTCAATCAGTATTCTAAACTGTTCATATTTTTTAAACAATATTTATATAGGGTGATCGTGGAGCTAGTGGTGAACAAGGTCCTGCTGGTAGTGCTGTGAGTATGCGCATGAAGCAGTTTTAATCCTCTTTATTATATGGCAAGCATCACTTCCCGTGAAATGGTGGACTATGATTGGCTGCGAAGCACTTACAGCGGTCCATTAGTTTCCCGTAACGGACCGCCGGTCCATAACGTAAAAACAAACGCATGCATTTTAAAACAAAACTAATTGAAAATTTGAAAATTATAATTTAATTTGTTATTAATACATAATAAGATTTATTTTTTTGTAAATCAGCAGCGGGCGGAATCCTAGCGTTTTCTGCAATCTGATTGGCTGCAGCAGCGGGCGGAATTTTACGATATTTGACCACGGTCCGGAATCCTATACGTAATGGCCGAAGCAAAGCAAAAAATTTTTGTATGTTTGTTTTAAAACTTAAAAATATGAATATGTAATTTTGAAATAATTTTAATGATGGATAAAATAATTGTACTGTATTTTAATTGAATTGTTTGTTTTCTAAAGTAAAATAATTAAATATCAAAATTTTTTTACCGTTTTGTTTTCTATATGCGCAATCTAATAAAACCGTTGCCATTTGCCTCTTAGTCTTCGACAAAAAAATAAATACGTTATTTACCGTTTAGGTCGGTCCGGATAGAAAAATATTTTGTGTCGGTCTCAAAAACGTCCCTCGGCCTTCGGCTTCGGACCGTTTTTGAGACCTCGACAAAATATTTTTTCTATCCGGACCTCCCAGCCGGTAAATAACATATATCTGAGAATGGTTTTTAGTGGAAAAGAAGGAATCCATTGGTATTTTTTGTTTTCTTCGACCAAATGTGTACCAAAGTATAAATGCAAAGAAATATCAGACCTCGGTCCGATATTTCTCTGTACAAAAAAAACCTCGGTCCGATATTTCTCTGTACAGACCTCGCGTTCGGTAAATAAGAAGTTATTAATCTTGTGGAACAATAAAGACTTTGTTTGAAAATTAACATGCGACTCTGTGATCTCATCGTGTTATTCTCCTACTTTAGGGCTCACCAGGTGCTATAGGACCTAAGGGTTCTAGAGGTCTACCGGGTTCGCCTGGCGAGAAAGGAAACGAAGGACCTTCCGGAGTCAATGGACCACAAGTGAGTACATGTTCATTATTTGTGGTGGTGATGATGGTGGTGGTGATGGTGGTGATGATGATGGTGGTAATGATTTGATGATGGTGGTTGTGATAATTTGACGGTGGTGGTGATTTGGTGATGGTGGTGGTGATGGTAGTAGTGGTGGTGGTAGTAGTGGTGGTGATGATGATGATGGTGGTGATTTGATGATGGTGGTGATGATAGTAGTGATGATGATAGTGGTGATGATTTGATGATGGCAGTGATTTGATGATGGTGGTGATGATGATGGTGGTGAAAATTTGATGATGGTGGTGGTGATTTGACGATGGTCGTGGTGATAACTTGATGATGGTGGTGGTGATGATTTGATGATGGTCGTGGTGATGACGACGATGGTGGTGATTTGATGATGGTGGTGATTTGATGATGGTGGTGGTGATGATTTGATGACGGTGGCAATGGTGGGGATGGTGGGGATGATGGTGATGGTACCTTAGAATGAGTTTAATGACTGGTTAATCTTTGTTATCTTATAGGGAGCACCTGGAAACCCCGGAGCTCCAGGACAACCCGGAAGCGCTGGCTCGCCGGTAAGTTCCTTTATTTTCAAACACAAATTGAACCTAGAGATCCAATAAGGATCACCTTCAGATGACCAGAGGATTTTACTCATTAAGGGGAGAATGCTGACACTCAGTGGGTAAATGCCATCCAAATACTGACACATGTACAATGATTTCTTTTTCAGGGACGTCCAGGACCACAGGGAGCCCCAGGCCCGAGTGGCGAGAAAGGTGACACCGTAAGTTTGTGAATCTCTCTTCACCGTACAGTTAACCATACCGTTAAAAAAATCAGTAAAGTACTTACAAGTCATCTTAATTTCCACTGCCAGGGACCGGAAGGTGAACAAGGTGATCCAGGAGCTGACGGAAAACCAGGAGCACCTGTAAGTGAAGAAAACGCAGGGTAAACTCAACGTGTCAGTAGTCATTCGTGGGTACAGCAAGACGGTCTTAAACCTATATATTGGAAACGTAAAAGCTCTTTTTCACTCATCGTAAACACCAACTCGCAAGCTTGCTGACATTTTTGCTGCGAGTACTTGCATCCATTGGATGATTGATCTAGGCAAGAAGAACGAAAATCATTACCATAGCTGGAATGAGCATCTTAAAATGAGTAAAATTACAAAGTTTGGTTGCGAATTGTTGTAAAATGAGGAATATATAGCCCTGTGAAGTTCGCAAATTTTGTATATATTTGCATTACGCGCGGGAAAAAATAACCATTTTTGAGCCGAAAGTGGTTATTTTTACCGCGTGTAATACAAATATATACAACATTTGCGAACTTCACATGGGCTATATTTTCCTCATTTTGCAACAATTCGCAACCAAACGTTTTGCAATTTCACTCATTTTAAGATGCTCTTTCCAGCTATGGTAATGGTTTCGTTCTTCTTGTCCAGATCAATTGGAATCATCAATTAGATGCAAGTATTTGCAGCGGGCTTGCGATGATTGGAAAAGAGCCTGGACTGGTGCCGTAGGTTGTCGCGAGTAAGGCATTATAAAGCAAATTAACAAGTCCAATTACAAATATTATGCTGGGAGAGTTAAGGCGATTTAAGGAATATTTAAGGCAAGTTATGGAGTTTTAAGGTAGGGGAACTTGGTAATATTCTTCCTGCAAGTTAAGATTTCGGATCAACGGGTATCACACAACATGCAAAAGTCCAACAGCTTAAAGAATTACCGGATGGCATAGTTCGCGCATTGTTTCCGATTATTGACAATCATTACCGGCTGTAGGCGATCTTTGACAACTATTTGCTTCCGATTTTATAGCACCAAGTGGTGGTGTGATTCAAACATGATGTATTTGAATAATTTTCTAGGGTCAACAAGGCCCTCAAGGACCCACAGGTGCCCCAGGCCAGGAAGGAGAGAAGGGTAACCAGGGTAATTCAGGTGAATCCGGGAAACCAGGGGATCCAGGAGCACCGGTAAGTAGTAAATACTCCTAAGCACTGATCTCAGAAACGTAAACTGGAATAGTAATGATTGCAAAGAAGACTTCAGTTGCATATATAGCTCAAAACTGTCGCTTATTTTAGGGATCACAAGGGCCTCCGGGATCGTCAGGATCACAGGGACAAATGGGACCACCTGTAAGCATCCACATCCAATATTATACCTTTGCTGATTCACAAATTCACATATGGATGTTTGTGTTTATTTATGGATATTTGTGTATCTCTAGGGAAGTACAGGTGAACGCGGACCACAGGGACAAACTGGACCAAGGGGTGAGAAGGGTTCTGATGGACCACGAGGTATACAAGGGCCACCTGGAAATGCTGGCATGCCGGGCGCACAAGGTCAAGGCGGATCTAAAGGTGACCGAGGTGATTCTGGACGAGAAGTAAGTAGCACAGATTACAACCAATCATTACTTTGAGTCATTACCAGCTAACGTTACCGGTTAACGCTAATTATGTATTCTGACGTCATTTAGGGTCCAGCTGGTGGTATTGGCGCACGAGGAGAACCTGGGGTGGCTGGTGAAAAGGTACGATCGATAGGGTGAACTGTTCCTAAATTAAAATACCTCGATTTATTAATTAAATTCTGCTTAACGTAGTGTCCTGCATTTTCATTACATACACGAGAAAAATCTTGAATCCATTGAAATGATCTGATCTGACAGAACACATGAATTAATGCAGCGTTTAGTGAGGTTTATGACCAAGTGTGTATTTGTTGAGTTCATAATCATGATCTAGGATGTTAATGGTTTTCTGTTGTTTTCTAGGGTGAGCAAGGAACAAATGGACCTCCGGGTCCATCTGGACGAACTGGACAAAAGGTACATATGTATAGAGCTAAACGGGGATATGTCTGCACATGCTATGATGTGTAGGAAACGTGTGGGATATATAAGGTCACCAATGGCTATCCTTGGGTATACTATAATTGTGAATAATAGAAATTTGACGAGGGTTTTCTTTGGATATATAGGGTGACCGAGGAGAGAAAGGTGATCAAGGAGCAGTGGGTCCCCAAGGTACTCGGGTGAGTGGAATCGTGTTTTAAATCCAGTTCTACCAAATTTGTTTAAAACCTGTCGTACAGGCTCGTGTCCCTTCCCCGCCACCCCCTGCGGTGACCCAGTGTTGCCTAAACAGCAGGGGGGGGGAGGTGTGAGAGAAACGAGTTGACTTGTTTATTCCAATTACTTTAATTTAGGGTCTCCCTGGAAATACTGGAGGTAAAGGTGATGCTGGTATATCAGGCGTGCAGGTAAGCTTAAATTACTTAACCCACTTGGGATTGTCGAACATGAATACAGTCAGCCAGAGTTGCGGGTCCGTGACGTCATCACAACCTTTTGGTCGCGCCAGGAAATCCAACAGCTAAATTGCCAGGAAATTCATCAGCTAAAATTTTCATAGCCCAACTTTAAACTAAAAATTCACAAACTTCTAGTTCGAAGTTTTCAAATCAACAAGGTTGGTATTAAAATGATCAGAAAAGATGAAATTTTCAGATAATGCAAAAATCACAAAATCGAAATGTTCATTGCACATACACTGACTAACTTTCATTGCCAATTTCTAGGGTGCTTCTGGTGGCATTGGTTCTCCCGGAAGTCCTGGGTCTAAGGGTGAACCGGTAAGGAGCTTAAACTGTTGCAAATTACAACTGGCTTCCACAACGGTGTCGTTCACGTATGATACTTATTCTGCCATGTTTTCTAGGGTCCACCTGGTCCTCTGGGACAGCCTGGCGCACCTGGTCCAATAGGACCCAAGGTTTGTACAACATTTTTGATTGCGGTCAAAACTTTCAAATTCCAAATTTTCTCCGTTCTGATTATCAGTCGACATTTGTACTTATTGTTATCTCTCATTTCTAAACGACGAGTTCAATAAACAGCACAGTCTATTGCTCTCCCTTAGGTTAACTATTAAAACTGTCCGTTTACAGGAGGAAACATGTTTTACTTACTTGTCTAGGGTGAACCCGGTAACGACGGTAGTGATGGAGCGAAGGGTGAACAAGGAGCAATTGTAAGTTTCTTGAAGTTCTAAAAAGAAGTAAAACTAAGTTTGAAAACATTTTTCAACATCATGACATCCTTCTGTTTCTAACATATGATTGGTCAATTATAGGGTCCAGCTGGCCAACCTGGTGATGATGGACCCCCTGGTGCTCAGGGTAACCCTGTAAGTATGAGGTTGGCTTTGAATTTTCCACATTCTATTCTTTGCCCAACTGCAGATTGATGGGAACACATCTTCTCCAATTCCCTCCTGGTGGTAATAATGATCAAATTCTATAACTAGCAAATGTTTGTATTGGACCATTCGCATTATAGACTAAATTTTGATCTAGACAAAAATTTCATCACAGCTTGAAAGAGCATCACAAAATTAGTAATATTCCAAAGTTACGTTGCGAAATGTTGTAAAATTCGGATAATATAGCCTTGCGAAGTTTGCCGTTTTTCAGTCATTTTGTATTACGCACGGGAAATTGACAGCCCAATCGGGTGTTGGGGCATCAATTTCCCGTTTGTAATGCAAAATGACTGAAAATTGCAAATTTCGCAAGGCTTATTATCCGCATTTTACAACATTTCGCAACGAAACTTTGGAATATTACTAATTTTGTGATGCTCTTTCATGCTGTGATGAAATTTTTGTCTAGATCAAAATTTAGTCTATAATGCAAATGGTCCATTATAGCACATAATTTGGTTCGCTGGCGGAGGTATGAAGACTGCCTTCTAATATTACGTATTTTATTCTTTTAGGGCCGACCAGGACCAAAAGGCAGCGCTGGAGAACAAGGTGTAGCAGGAGAGAAGGTAACAAATGGACCTATTACCTAATGAACAAAATTTTGATCTAGACAAGTCTAGACAAAAATTTCATCACAGCTTGAAAGAGCATCACAAAATTGGAAGTAATATCACAATTAAGTTCTTTGTATAGGACTGCATGGCGATAAAACATATAATACTTTTTGTTTGTGGAAACAAAAAGTATTGTATTAAATAAATTTACGTGGTGTTTCCACAAACACAAAGTATAATATCACAATTGTTGTAAAGATAGAATAGTCTTGGCTAAGTACGTAATTATGTAAGCGTATAGCGTATACTTCATGTAGAGCGCATTTGACCATATCCAACATGTAATTTTAATTTAATTCCCGTGCGTGCAAGTGTATCGAGTTCAAACATCACTGCAACTTACGTCAATGTCTCTATTCTAGGGTGATCAAGGTCGGCAAGGACCTGCTGGTGAGAATGGACGCATTGGGCCAGCGGTGTGTATACAAACTGAGCTTTTTTTAAACTGGATAGCTCTTTCAGTTCTTGAATGACCAATTTCCACTCACACAAAAATTGCCACGGACAGAAAATTTTCAGAAAATATCATTGTTTAAAGTTGAGAATTTTCAACTTCACAAAATTTTTTCGGAGGGAAAATTTTTGTCGTCCAAAGCTCCCTTCCTGCAGAAACATTTTCCTGAGTGGAAATGGGCCGGAATGTCAGAAACGTTGAGTGTTACTAGAGGACGAAACCTGAACTAACTTTATTTATACTGAATACAGTCGAACCTGTATCGAGCGATCACCTTTGGGGATTTCGCAAATGGCCACCTAAGTACAGGGTAACCTCCTGATATAGGTCCAACTACCGCGGTTAAAAAAGGTGTTTAACTGTTTTTGATTCTTAATAAGAACAAGAGAACTGTGCTAGAGCCGTTCTAAGTTCAGCTGTTGCGGCGTGCTAAATTTGGTTTGGTTCAACAAATCACCCTTGATATGGCTAGGAAAGGCTCTTGCTAGCAAATTTTCGCAACGCATCGCCGAATTCCATCACTTCTTTTTCCCGTGAATAAACAATGAAAAATTACGTTTGGGATCGTGCGAAAGGTGACCATGTCCGCTTAATATAGATGACCGTTTAATAAATGTCACTTCGATGAAATAGCCAAATATTCTCATGTTTATAATATCACTTGTGTGTCAACGTATTCCGACATATTATTCTGTAAATATAATTTAAACATAGTTAGAAAAATGCCTAATTAGAAAATCGGGGCTTTCTCGAGGTATGAACAACTGAATTGTGGTACTGGTTAATACTTTACATTGTACCCATGATTGGAAGTACTGAAAATTATTATTGGAAGTACTGAAAATAGTCATTTTGAATGTTATTGTAGTTGTGTCTATAGAGTTTAGGAGGACCAGATTGGAAAATAGTTGCAACTTTATCTGTTTATCCTCAATAAATAAAGTGTTATTATTATTGTTATTAACAGTATTTACATTAAATGAGATGAAATTCTCGGAACTTTGCCAGATGACCGCTTAAACAGTCATTTCTTTATGCATGTTTTACATTGTAGGGACCACCAGGTCCACAGGGAAGCCAGGGAGAACGAGGTCAACGTGGACAAACGGTAAAGTAAACCAAGTTTTCAATCGAGTTGCCAAACAATGCAATATCACAGTATATTTGAACTTATATTTATTGGACAAAGGTTTGGATACAAAAGATTTCATTTATAAAATCCTATTTTATTAATAGGGTCCACAAGGACGTCCTGGAGCCGCTGGTCAAACTGGAGCCCGCGGACCTGTGGCAAGTTGAAACTTAGTTCGTTTTCTTATTAAGGAAATATCGTTTGCTCTTTTCGGTGTGTTCATGAAATATTTTTCTTTCTCAGGGTGCTACTGGTGAAACTGGTTCGGCAGGTGCTGCTGGTCGTGATGGTGCCAAGGTATTTTGACAATATATCGATTATTCTTCAAGTTTGTTCGGATTGTCAAAGTTAAACAGCATGTGCATGTTAATGAAGGAGATGAACTTATCAAAGAAAGAAAGAAAATTGGAAGAATTTAGGCAGTGTGAGAAGATAACGAACATTGAAGAAGAAATAATCTCGAAGGCATTAATAATTCATGATAAATTAGCCAACCACATTACTTTATTTTGCTCACATGATAATATTGGATACCTGAAGTACATTGATTCAGTCCTAGGACTGGATCAAAATTAATTCACCTCACTTTACCAGGAAGTAGTGATTTATTCGTATGAGATTTCATTTCAAATCCTTCAATTCAGACTGGTCTAGATTTCAAGCCCTCGCAGGCCTTAAAATATCTTTTACAGAGACGTCTGACAAAATGTCCGTTGAGTTTGGGTCGGACATATGTCCGATGACCTTCAGTTCAGTTTTGACTTGGAAATAAGTCTGAATGACACAAATGAATATCAGCACAATGTATTAATTCTGTACTGTAAATGTTGTGAAGAAATTTTTTTTTCTTTCATACTTATTCCCAAGCTAAAATTAACTTGCTTTCCAGAACAGCAGTATTAAAGAAGACTTCGACAACTTAAGCCTGTTTTCCACTTCACCATTTCGCTCGCCTCCCCGCGCTTGACTACGTTAAAACAACACTTCCAGTTCACCTTTTGTACAATAGTACTCTGACTTTCTATTTAACATACAAGCCTCTAGTCCTGGGCTAGAGTACATTTTGATTTACGTCGGACAAAGCTACAGTTCGGTCGAACACAAATACACTCAGGTCGGACAAACAATAAACCTCAGTTTCACTTACGTCGGACAGAATGTCCGGTGGTTTTCTTTCTACGTCGGACAATTTCACGAATGGGTTGGACAATGTCCGTGACCGACCGATTTTTTAAGGCCTTAGCCCTCGCATTTTGACCCAGACCCACGGCTTCGCCTGGGACTCGACTAGCCCAGTCGACCTCATAGTCGGATTTGAAATATTACATCCAATACGGGAGACAACGCGTGACAGGAAGAATGAAAACCTTCTGTTTTATAAATAGGGTGATCCTGGATTCTTCGGACCACCTGGACCTCAAGGACCTCCGGGAGAAAAGGGTGATGAAGGTGAACGTGGATCGCCCGGACCATTTGGACCCAAGGGAGATCGCGTGAGTACACATTCATTCATTGTATCGGGCAAGACCACAATCAAAGCATAGTTAATAGAAAATTATTAACTATGTTCAAAGTTGGACTGCGAGCAGTCCCGTCTTAGAAGGAGGGACTGCAGACAACACATCAAGAAACGAAATATGCGTTGTCCAGACAACGCAAAATTCCGATTGGTTGATGTAGTTGATTGACAGATCTTAATTAACTGAAATGTATTGTTTTTCAAATTTGAAAGTCAACCGTCAAATTATGTCATATTAATTAAATCTCGTAGTGTTTTTATTCATATTGTCTGAAAGCGTTTAGTATGTTATTTCGAGCGAATACAATTTAATGTAATACTATGTATTTTTACTTGTAAAACGTAAACGCGCTATAAATAGTTACTTGTTTACAACGGCAAAATAATTATATTGGAGCTAAGCGGCGATGCGAAAGGTGGGCGTTTATTGATGTGTTGTCTGCAGCCCCTACTTTCCTTCTAAGAAGGGACTGCTCGCAGTCTAGATCAAAGTGCGAAAGATGATTAGTCCAATGCTATGATATATTCAAACATATTTATATTTACGTTCTAGGGACCAAACGGAAACCGAGGACCCAGTGGACCACCTGGTCCGCCTGGACCTTCGGTAAGCAAATAAGAAAATGTTCGTTTTCAAATTTCTCTTATCTTGTCCTTGGCTTCCATACCTACTTCTTCACTCAAGAAAATGACTCACAAATATTTTCTGTTTCCGTTTTAGGGCGCTACTGGACCAACCGTAAGTCCGTTGTAGTTTAAAAACATAATTGATTTTGTTCTATAGCGTTCATTGATGTTAGATTTCATTTACTAATATTTCTTTGTTTTGATGTTTTAGGGACCTAAAGGTGATTCGGTATGTACACTTGGAAAATGATTTAATAGCAGTTGAAATTTAGTCTCCATATAGACTTTACTCGGCAGCCGATGTTTCTTAATTGTTGTACAGTACTTAAAGTTCTCAGCTCCCAACTGATAACTAAATACATTTTCTTTCATTTCTCTTCGTATATAGGGACCAATGGGACCTGGTGTAAGTGTATAAAAATATATTTTTGATCGTTCCTGCTTTGTGTCTAAGGAACCCGTGTTTTAGAAGCCCTTCCCGTTTTAATTTGCTCTTTTTTATTTTCCGTTTAGGGCGACCTAGGACCACCGGTACGTATATAAACGTATATATAATATGAATGCATTGATTTACAAATTTTATCCTTTACTCACAAAGGTATACATTCGCTGATTTACACTTTCTTTTCCTTAGGGACCACCGGGACCTCCAGGACCACCGGGAAGTGTAAGTAAAATACACCTTATTGTCTCTTATCATCCTCCTAGTGTTATAGTACATCAAACACATAGTAGTTACGGAAAGAAAGTTTGTTTTCTGGTAAGCTAAATATTTCACCACAACACCCGAAAAGAAGAGGGATCTTGGGATCATGAGGAACATTTGCCTTACCAAGAAGATCGAAGATCATTTAATTTTTTTTTCACACATACGTTGTGGGAGAATCATTATATCATACTTCCTTATCTCTCATTTGAGGCATGTAATATAAAATAAAATTTAATAAATACAGTCAAGTATATTCTGTTGTTGCATACATACATCGTGACGTAATATACCGTCAAAATTTTCCATCTTTTTGCGCACTTTTGACGAACATTTCAAAAAGGCAAATACAGAATCTGAGGAACAGTAAACACTTGCCCCATGTCTGTTCACCACAAATCAGATACCGCAAGCGTTCTTTCGGAAAAACATGGCTACGAAATAATGTTTCCACAACAATGCGAGTAAGTTGAGGAGGCTCAACCATACTCTCAAGCAATATGTAATTTAGGTTGGTTCATAAACTGCATGATTAGTAAAGTATGAACAGTTTTCATATTCTTCAAGGATGGTATTTTCTAAAACCATTAAATCTATTCAGGTGCAAACTGGCTACCCAGGCGGTGTACCATACCAATCAGAGACAGGCACATACAAAGGCAGAGGAAAGAGATCGATTTCTGACGACGACGACGACTCCAATCAAGCATTCTTTGCCGGAGCCGAGGAAATGGCCGCGTCCATTGAATCCATCAAGAAGGAAATCGAAGAAATCCGAAGACCAAGCGGAACACAGACGAACCCTGCCCGAAGCTGCAAAGATCTATACCTATGCAACAAGGGCAAACAAGACGGTAGGTTTTGCAAAATGTTTTGGAAACGTAAAACAAGGTCACAGAATGTTTTTGATGTTATTCTGAGTGTATATCCACAACGGGCAGGCTGAAAAGTTAGCCTGACCACGGTGGGAATCGAACTCGCGACCTTTGGGATAACATCAAAACACACACAAAAATATCAAGGTCACAGAATACTATACAGGGTGTATAAAAAAAAACTGAACAGATTTGAAATTGCTCTCAATTTCGCAAAACACCTATTTGTATCAGGTTTTTTATATATATAGCTTCTTTGGATACTTATAATGTAGAATAATGAAAAAAATTTCTCAAACTCAAATTTTGTGGACCAGGGGGTGTCTTTTCCAACAAAATAAAAATGGCTCGCGCACAACATTTAAAAGATGTAATCATATTTTGAGTTTATAGATGGAAACTGTGTCGGGTTTTTAATTACTGTACAAAATTTCAGACAATTTGGTTTAGTTTAAGCCCTTTAACTATTTATTTTATTCTAAAAAATCAGCTTTTCGCATGCTTAATTAATAGCCTTTACCTAATTTGCATATTGCTGACATATGCAAATTAGGCAAATGCATTAATTAAGCATGCAAAAAGCTGATTTTTAGGAAAAATGTAACTTTGCGTGAATAATTTTCTGAAATTTTGTACAGTAATTAAAAACCCGACAAATTTTCCATCTATTAACTCAAAATATGACTACAACTTTTAAATTTTGTGCGCGAGCCATTTTTAGTTTGTTGGAAAAGACACACCCCCCTGGTTCACAAAATTTGAGTTCAAGAAATTTTTTTCATTATTCTACATTATAAGTACCCAGAGAAGCTATATACATAAAAAACCGGATACAAATAGGTGTTTAGCGAAATTGAGAGCAATTTCAAATCTGTTCAGTTTTTTTTTATACACCCTGTACAGAAGTCCATCTCCATTGTTTTTTTTGCGTAAGCGCTATTCGTCATGATTCGTCACTCAGCAAGTACCGTAAACAGAAGCAGTCACCCACCCCCTGGAAATATTCAAAATGACACACGTCCAGGGGAGGGGACTGCTTCTGTTTACGGTAGTTACCGAGTGACAAGGTGTTGGAATTACGCTCTTCTAAACTAAGGCCTGGTTTACACTATCAAAGTTTATGTGATCACAATGGGAATTTTGCAAAGGTAAATTCTAGGTTTTGAAGGTTTTGTGAGAAATGTTTGAGGAAACTGACTTAATGTTAAACACTGATTCAGTTTCCTCAAACATTTCTTACAAATCTTTCAAAACTTAGAATTTACCCATGCAAAATTCCTACTGTGATCACAGAAACTTTGATAGTGTAATCGAGGCTTAACACACTAAATTTTATTCGGTTATATTTTAGGTTTCTACTGGATTGATCCCAACCAAGGATGTCCAGATGACGCCATTCGTGTATACTGTAACTTCGAAGCTGAAGGCGAAACGTGTGTCTACCCAGATGAAGACAGCGCTAAGGTGAGACAAGGCAATGATTTGCATTATTTAGACGTTTAGAAATTAATTGTCTTTAACCTATTTAGGTACAGGTTTATTAGCATAGTATAGCTACAACCCTGGCAAAAATTATGTGGACACCTAACTTTTCTAACGCCAATATTAACATTGAGACGTTTTTTCATGAAATTTGTCGCCCCCTGGCCCCTATTCAATGTTGTTTCTCGCATTCAAATTTGAAAAGTTTCATTTACCAACATTGAATTGGGGGTAGGAGCTCTGGGGTAGGAGGGGGAGAAATTTTCTGGCGGATTAATTATGTAGAAATAGATCTATTTTTGTTTGACGCACGCGCTGTCCACGATAATTTTTGCCAGGATTGTAGTTGCCGTGGCTAGATTTGCCACTGAACCGCACCGTAGGTGGAAGACACATGGACATATGTGGCACCAAACAACCCGAGTGTATCATTTACATGTAGTTTTAAACCTCCTTACAGGTTGAACGAAAGACGTGGACTAGAACTTCTGATGAAGATGTTTACTTCAGTGAATTGAACGGCGGCAAGACTGTAAGTATCACGTGATACACCACTTCATCCAGTTAACACTTTATTGAGTTTATGTGAGTGGATGTCCCATCAGGTTATTAGCCATTCCGAAGTTGATGAGTGGACTGGGGACAAGTGTTAAAAAGTGCCCAAATTAAGAAATTAACCAAATCACTAAAAAGACCACCTCAAAATTAGTAAGTATACAAAGTTTGAAGACGTTTACATGAATACCCGTCGAATAATAAGCTTTCGAAAATTCTGAAATTACTGATCAAAAGATTGTTTTAACAAAAATTACAATACATTTCATAGTAAATATCGCGATTTTCGAAAGCTTATTATTCGGGGGGTATTCATGTAAACGTCTTCAAACTTTGTATACTTACTAATTTTGAGGTGGTCTTTTTAGTTATTTGGTTAATTTCTTAATTTGGGCACTTTTTAACACTCGTCCCCAGTCCACTCATCAACTTCGGAATGGCTAATTGTCCAATTGATAGGGGATCCGAGGTACTTACAATTTAACGTCCTTGTCCGAGAAGACGCAAAAGTCTAAAAGTCATTTACTGATGTCAATGTAAAGATAACACTTTCTCCTCAATTATTTTAAGACCTTGAGTAGAGGTCCGACCAAGAATTGAACTCGGGTCTTCCAGCCTGAAAGGCAAGCGTGGTGACACCACAACTGCTGGTGATATACCGCACTGAAATTTCTTAAGATCGTTGCTCATCCATATACACCTCAATAATAATATATCACTTTTCATCTTTAGATTACCTACAACAATGTTGGCAAAGTTCAACTTACATTCCTTCGACTCCTGAGTGAAAGTGGCAAACAGAACTTCACCGTGTCATGTAAAAACTTCATTGCTTGGTTCGACCAGACGAACAACAATCACGATATGTCATTGATCTTACAAGGCGATAACGAACAAGAATTCTCATTTGAATCAAATAAGAGCAAATTAAAGATAATTTCAGATAATTGTAAGGTACGTTGGTTTGGTAAAGACAGGGAATGGAAATGATCTTTCCTAGTTTCCTTCTGAGTGATGAATGCAGAGCACAGCTAAGGTTGAAAGGTTGCTATGGCACCTCTGTTGCCACGGTTTGTACGCCGGTTTCGGCATACCTTATAGCCGGCTATACGACCCAAGACTGTTCTCAGAGCACAGCTAAGGTTGAAAGCTTGCTAGGGCACTTCTGGCTGCGATCATACGGTCCATGTCAGATTACAGAGTGTAGCCGAAGTGGAAGGCTTACTAGAGCGCCTCTCGCTACCACCATACGATTCATGTAGCACAGCTAAGGTCAAAGGCTTATTAGGACATCTCGGCCTGCCACCATAAGACCAATGTCTAACCACAAAGCACAACTAAGGGTTGAAAGCTTGCAAACGCTGCCTCTTACTGCCTGGACTACTACCACTATAGGTCGACCCATGTCTGAAAAAGCACATAATGGAAGTTGAGAGCATAGCTAATGAAGAGAGCATATGAGCGGATATGGGAGGATAGATAGGATATGGGAGGATATAGGGGGATAGAGAGAGCATATAGGAGGATAAAGGGCATATGAGAGGATAGCCAAAGCAGTTTTCTCATCTCATTGTTTTTCGTTTCTCAACAGAACAAAGGCGAAGATAAAACGGTATTCGAAATCGAGACAGAAAAACTTGCCCAGTTACCAATTGTGGACTTCGCGCCAAGGGACTGGACCCAAGACGCCGAGTTCGGCTTCGAGGCCGGGCCGCTTTGTTTCAGATAAACTGAACGAAACGTTTCTTTCCACGATACACACTCTAGTACGACCTCTCGTCTTTGAAACAATATGGAAAGAAAATAAAAATAAATAATTTTCCAATTTTGTTCCCTTAGAGTAACTTCAGCTAGGTAGAGGAAGGAGGAAGATTATTAAAAGTCCATAAATATTTAGGAATAAAAAAAAGAAAAATATAAAATCATATTAGCGTAGTAGTTACTTTTGTGCATATTTTGTCCAAATTATTATTAATATATTGAAAATTTCACATTTAACTTCGCAAATAGTATTGTTGTTCTGTAGTAACATACGAATTCAAAAAGCTATAAAGTTTTTTTACTACATACGGCAAATTATCCAAATGATGTCTCCTCAAACATTTTCAGGGATCGATCCAGCATGATCTGGTAGGGGTGCTCTGCCAACTCTGGTGCCGAGTTGTGTTGGTCATGTGCGCCTCCCACCCCATCAACTTGCTTGACTACTGCAAAGTCTTGCTTGAACTGTATTTGTTTTGTAAATTACTCAAATTACTGTATCTCATTTTTTCTCTAATATTTTTTTTGCTTTATCATGAAAAATAGCACACCCCCTTCCAGGGAGTTGGGGGCCCTCATCCATCCCTGAACATTTCCACCTACTGGAACGCTGAGCCCTTGCTGATTGACGAGAACGTCTTATGAATAGCAATCGCGCCATGGTGACAAATTCTTCAAATAGTCTGGTTTTATAACCATTCAAAGGTTAAGGTTAAAAACCATTCTCGTACCCAGAGCCCTTATCACGCGCGGTGCGACGAGGGCTCTGGCCAAATCCATATCCGAACTGGCATCTGATTGGCTAGTTCTAACACCGGATATTGTTTTTTCTTACCATGTTTTTATGGTATCCGGTTGTGGATTTGACCAGAGCCCCTCGTCGCACCGCGCGTAAGAAGGGCTCTGGGTACGAGGATGGGTTAAAACATGAACGAACAATGACCGTATTCATGCAAATTATGTTTAATTAGTGTACATTTTAGTGCTGTACGAACAGTACACGTTATGCATATACAAGAAAATCCTATGACAAAACTAAATGACTAAGTACAGGCAGTATTCAATTGACAGAGAGGCTTGAATACTTCAAATTTACAGAATATATAAGAAACATTCAGTAACGAAAATTGAAAAACAATTAATAATTAATGAAAAAAAATCATGGGAATATTTAACGAATAGTATTTATTGGGGGTGGTATATCAATACAAAAATAATGCAAACCATAGTTAATATAAGTCGACAACTGAGTAAACATCTCAAGATTTCTAACGACAACTTCTTGTAAAAGGAACGATATTTTTCAACATGAACGCAGTATTTTTATTTCTTACTGTTTGTATATCAAGTAGCCTCTCTTTGAACTACACAGGTAAGTTTATGTCGTGTTTTGTAATCATTTTAAGAATATAGATCGATTCGATTCTTATATGACGTTTTTGGAGCGACACGGAATGTCAGCACTTCTTTCTTCCTTAACTTGCGCGTTATATAAATTGCGCACTTTTTGCGGTTACAAACTAGTCTTATTGATAAGATGATAAGATTGCTCAGTACTTCACTACAAGTCTACAACTACCTTCGCCAAAAACTGAAAATCTTAAAGCCTGTTCTAAACGTCGCATTTTACATGCGCTGAATCCATTCAAAACAACGGATAATGAGGCATTTCAGCTGATTATCTATTGTTTTGAATGAATTCGGCACATGTAAAATGCGACGTTTAAAACAGGCCTAAGAAAAGCTTCTGTTATGACGGAGCTAAACTGTGAAACTCATGACCTGCAAATATGCGTGATTGAGATACATTATCAACATTCGTAAATGCAATTGACGCTTGTAATTTCTAATGTAATGTTATTAATTTTGTAGTTAAAGCTACGTTTACACGCTACGATTTGTTGAGTGCTGGCGCCATGGTTCGTTGCCGTTTCGTTAAAAGAAAATTTCAAATCTAGCCAGCTTACGCGTGTTTACCTGATGACATACGCCAGAAAACAAATCGTACACGATTAATTGCAGCGTGTAAACGTAGCTTAAAAAACTCATTAATAATTCGTAAAGAAAAGACAAAGGAAATCACTACCGTGTCGTTGGTGTTATGTACTAGATAAAACATGAGCAGCCGATCTGTATCCAATATACAAACTCGAGCCGAAGGCAGTTTGTATATCAGATACAAATCGGATGCGAATCAGCACATAGTTGACTGGGCCAGCGTGTGATATTTTAAATAAAGTTTTACCTATACCTACCTACCTCTTATGTAGCATAGATATCTTGTATACACTAGATAGCGCATCTCTTTTAGTAATATTGAAGCCAAGAATATTCCAGCGGTTACCCGCATTTGAATAGATGGCGGCCATGTTGGTCGTTCCCACTCGCTAATAAACGCTTAAAAACAACAATAACTTTCATCATTTGATTAGTTTAAAAACGTATTTGGAATAGGGTTAACTTAATGTTTAAGTTTTCTGTTTGAGAAATAGAAAACATACGAATCTTCTCGTTTCATGGGAACAACCTGAGACTGCAATCACGGCTTCAATTTTTGAATTGCAGAATAATTAGATGCACTATCTAGTGTCAAGATATCTATGTTGTGTAGTCATATTGTAGCAAATCATAGAGATACCAGATAGAAAACGTAATAGGGCAAAAAGTCGAAGGCAAAAAGTCGGTCTGCCAGTACGGCCTGATACGGTGGTAAGCTGTAAAACATGGAATCTGGAATCCTGGAATCTTGGAATCCTGGAATCTTATCATATAACCGCAAAATATGTTATTATCAAGATATTATTATTATACTTGTTCTGCATGCGATGATTTAATCAGAGGCAGACATTGGTAATATATTATAAGTATATAATACGTTGCAGAGTTTAGTATGTATATCTTGATGCCAATGCATAATAATGTAAACGCTGTGCGCGCATCTAAATAATATCGTCGGTTTATGATGAGAGTTAAAATCAAGTGCGTAGCAAGATGACCAGGCGGGAGACAACTAAAGAGACCATATACAGTATATATATCATTGCAATCAGGAAAAGCTTAATTAGATGCACTATAACACCTCGTATTCCGTCAATAAATACCACACTTGCAAACAATTGCCGAGTTCATATAGTCTATTATCAACGAATTAAGGTTATATACCACGTGCTGTATAACTCACATAGCATATGAGCCTCATTAACCACGTGCTACTATAACCTTAGTACTTCGTTGAATATAGACTATATGAACTCGGCAATTGTTCGCAAGTGTGCTATTTTTTGACGGAATAAGAGGTGTTATGCTTGGGTGTTATGGTGCATGCATCTAATTGAGGTTTTCCTGATTGCAATGATATATATACTGTATATGGTTTCTTTAGTTGCCTCCCGTCTGGTCATCTTACTACGCACTTGATTTTAACTCTCATCATAAACCGACCATATTATTTAGATGCGCGCACAGCGTTTACATTACTATGTACTGGCATCAAGATAGACATATTAAACTCTGCAACGTATAGTATACTTATAATATATTACCAAGGTCTGCTTTGATTAAATTATCGCATGCAGAACAATATGTTGCATAAGTATAATAATAATATCTTGATAATAACATATTTTGCGGTTATATATGATAAGATTCCAGGATTCCAAGATTCCAGGATTCCAAGATTCCATGTTTTACAGCTTACCAGTCTCACCTTGTGCATTTCTCTTGCTGACTCGGTGAATCTTTCTTGAAATTGAATGCTAGATGAAGAAGTTAAAAAGAGTTGCAATTGTGATTAGGTTAAAGAGAAGTTTTACTGTAATCTTGTATGAATTGCTCAAACCTTTTCTAGTTTTATCCATACATATTTATGCTTTTTTTGAAACCCAATTCGCATTTCCGATTTCGCATACAAGTTTACAAACTCATCAGTCAAATATAATCAATATGTGTTCAGCAGCAAAGCTGTTAAATCGATTGGCGATTAAAAAAACAACGACCACAACAGCGAAGTAATTTTAGGACAGTGTCAGAGATCACCTCATCACAGTTCCGCTTTTGAACATGGGTTATAAACCAAATAAACTATAGTTATATAGCTTTTTCAACTAACTTCTTCGTACAGAAATCCCAAGCAACTTTTTAGCACACTTCAAATACTAATTTGATTGAAAAGCGGGCAGATGTACAGCTTTGTCAACATGTGTTTTCAGCAGACTAGTCAGTCAGAATGAGAAAATATGGAAGTATTGTATATTGGAAGTATTATATTGTATTTGGGGGGGGGGGGATGCAAATGAGAGATGTAGTTTAATTTGCCAGTGAAAAAGCATCGTCCAAAAGAGGATAGAGTTGGTGAGAGTTGTATCTCACTCGCGTTTGACTGCCACCTCTTCTTGATTCTCATGAACTCTCTTCAATTTCCATGAGATTTGATGAGAGTTCTAATTCGTGAAAATCCAGTCAACTCTCATCTACTCCCGCGAAACTCTTGACCGAGGCATGAGAGTTGAGAAAACTCTGTATGCAAACTCACGCTTCTCAACTCTCATCCTCGTTTGAGCAAGACTTATACGAAGATCTCTGAAGTTCATCACCAGCTGTTGCCTTTAATGAAACTGGCCAATACTACAATGCAGGCAGGACTCAAAATAGCGGGCTGCCAATGGCCAAAAGCAGGCAATATTTTAGAAATGGCAGGCACATATACTACATCATTTAGTTGACTAAATACGTTTATATTTGAAATGTAAATTCAACTCAGATAAGTTTAAAAACAATAAAAATGCATATCATGAACATTGATTTTTACAATATGACTCATGAGACATTGGCATTTTGGCAGTTCAATGAATAACAAGACGCTCCACGGAGCGTTAGTCGCTGGGGCGACGAAAATATGCAACTTTGAGTACAAGTAATAGCACTAATTAAAGAAAAACGTGTTTGTTTTTCCGAAAATATTGATTCTTGAAGTTTGCCTGGTAGTTAGCGCTAACAATTAAAACAACTGAGTTGTAAACAAGTACAACCATGTAGCAATGTTGTTTTAATAGTCATATACTAGTATATATACTGTATACACTATAGTGTATCGCATGTGTTAAAATTATAAGCGTTTATCCTAGCTGTTGTCATTACACAGATCGGCTGGTGTTATGTTACCAACTGGCCAAGTTAAAACCGAACTTTAATAGCTAGCTAGTTAGTGCATCGAAGGCTGGTATGTAGATTAGTAGATATGATTAAAGCGTTATTGCTATACATGGTTGTAGACACAGGTCATTAGCTAGTCGCTTGGTAATCATGCGAAATTCTTTATGTATTAGAGACTAGACAGACGTTATAATGCGTCTAGTTTCGAGGCGAAGAATATTCTTGCCTTTCAGCGTGCAGTGTAAAGGCGGCGAACTGCATGGAATAATAATATATGTTTTTGTGCCAAGAAATATTCCAAGTTACCTCCACACGATATCAGGAAATTGAGTTCCTCCTTTTCAGCTTGTAGTAATACATTTTGTCCCAATGAACCTTAATCCTTCAATATTTAATAGGAATAGGATGTAGTCGTAGACTCGAAAGAAGCAGGCGATGTCTGACTTTAACTTTAATTTATGTAGATCCAAAAGACACAAATATTATTACTGACTGGAAAGTTTGGGAATTGCGCGCCGGATATTTTGAAAATTCAATAGTATAAAACATATAGAGGGCATCAAAACTGCGCGCCCGATATCTCCGCGGCTCCTGAGTAGTTTTGGGTTACCTATGCACTAGGCGCGCAAAGGACACTTGGGAGAAGTCGACGACGAGCAAAACGTTAAAAGTTTCGTTTTATTTGGGACTTTTTTAGTCTTTTTTCGAGTATTGAAATATATTTTTCGAGTTTAATTAAATATATAAAATTATATACAAATTATCTACTTCCCTCCTCGATAACATAACAGTGAAACATCGTGATAACTTTTAGTGAATTCTTAATATATTTCTTTCAAAAAAACCCAAAAGAAAAGACACTACTGGACCAAATATTCAATAGCGAACTTTTGCACGCTATTCCATGGTCGCCATTTTGATTTTGATTTCGTAAGAATTACGTAATTAAAATGACGTAATTTGTCATTTTGTGGCGTGCCAAACGGCAAACCTAGAATCGGTGAGCACCACAGTGGCCCCACCGACTAAAAATGGCAGGCTAAAATTTATCTCACCTGACTGGCAGGCCATATTTTTTTCTCTACTTCGAGCCGTGAATGCATGTCACTGTGTTTACATCTATTTCCACTATAGACGTGAAGTGCTACCAATACGCAGAACCGAAAAATGGCAAACTGATCTGTCAGAAAGATGTTACAGCGACAGTGAGTTGTCACGTGAGATGCAATGGTGGTTTTGATGTGGAGTATTTGCAAGCAGAAAGCTATACATGCACACCTGACGGAGCTTGGAAAGTCGAACCTGAGTTAATGACTTTGCCATGGCCAAACTGTATTATATATGGGTAAGACTACTAAGACTACTAAGATCTAGACTATACTTTCTTGCCTTTAATACCCAATCTATTTGTTAGCAATAAAACTTTGTGAAACGTCTTGATGAGAACATTCGTATTCTTCAACAATTTAAAATAAATGAATGATTTTTGGTAAGAAAATTAAACTTTTATTTCTAAATGACTTTGTATCAGATATACAAACTCCTTCACGCTCATGATTTATTTAGTGTTTTCATGAATTATTAAGAGGCAATTTTTTTCAATGTCACGTATTCGCAATGAAAAGTGTTCAAAACCTAAAATCTCTTTGGCGTTCCTCTCAAAATTACTTTGTTTTAGCTTTATTCTCTAGTTTATACAGTTAGCTACCTTTTTAAATGCATCTGCCGGTTGATAAACATACAATAATAGTTAAAAATTGTCAATGAAAATACAATTATCAAAGATGCTTTAAAATGTATGCCATATTTACACAGCAATACAAACAAAACTTACTGAACTTCAGAAAACATCATTTTCTCTTTGGCGTATCATCTAAAATCTTTTCATTTTAGCATTATTTTCAGATAAAACACTACACATACTTTTTAAGTTTGTTTGCCGATTGAGAAACGTGTCGAACAATGAAATTTTTGAATTTAGACTTTAATCATAACCTCAAGTGGTATATTATACGCATTCGTTTTGAGCGCGTGTTACGTATACAAAAAACCTCCTCTTAATGCGTTTCAAATTAAATCTATGCCATATACAGAAGCGGTCTGTGACAACGTCTGTTGTGCCAGTAGAGGAATTCAACTACCTGAATAATTTTAATTGTATTCTGGTTCCGGTTTCATATCGTGAAAAATTAGGGTCGGTAGGTCGGAAATAATTTTTTTTTGAATATTTTTTTCCATGGTTGTGGCGATTTGCAGCAGAGTCCCGACATCAATATTAACTAGAGAGGCGTATTTCCTATGGACGAATTTAGGCAATTTGGTTCAATAATTAATCATGTGACAACAGACGCCATTTTGGCATGCTGTATGAGCAGACCATTGAACTATAAGTAAACTGGAAGGCTAACTGCTATGATGAAGGCCTATGATTTGATGAAGCCGAAATAGTTTTTCTGAGTTATGAGCAGAAATACTTGATCCCAAACGTTGGGCTATATATCAAATTGAAGCTATTGAAAATTGCTATTCGGTGAGGAAATTTCAAGACTTCAGCGAAAAGAAAAATATTTAAAAAATACAAAAACAACTACAAAACGGGAAATTTTCGGTAATTATGTTTGTAATTTTTCAATATTTCCCTTTTAGCTAAAGTCTTGAAATTTCTACACCAAATAGCGTTTTTCAATAGCTTCAATTTGATATATAGCCCAACGTTCAGTGTTGAGTATTTCCGCTCATAACTCAGAAAAACTAAAATACACTGGCTTCAATTTCCCCCCCTGAGTTAGCCTTCCAGTTTATTTATAGTTCAATGGAGCAGACCGCAACCACCCGGAGAAAATAGGGTCGCAATCGCGTTGAAAATAATAGGGTGGGCAGAAAAAAATAGGGTCGGTCGGGAACCGGAACCACAGGTATTTTTTTAGGCCCTGTCAATTCGCAATTTCTGTCCATATATACAGTAATGGGTAAATTAAAAATAGATAAAAACTAGACCCAACTTGATTCCTTGTTAGAATGTAGGTAGGTATAACGCCACAATGTCTATCTATCTCAATCTTCCAATACAGCAAACCCCTCAGTATGAGGATTATTAGCTGTATGTCAGTGTTATAAATATATTTTTATTTTCTAATAGACCAGGTATGCCTATACCATGAATCAACGTACTGTGAAGAAAACTTCGTCTAGTGATGGTATTATATGTGATTAAGGAGTTAAATTTTAGTATAATATATATCTTATCATATTTTACAACTGGAGCACTCAGTTCAAAATGTAAACAAACGTTACATTACGGACTTTACATGGCCTTCAATGAATGAAATTTTAATGGTAATCTATTAAATGAAATTTTCAATCAGTTGTACAGTTTCTGTTGTATTTTACTGTCTCTCTTCGGTGGCCAAAGAGGGCAACGCACATTCACGAAACGCGCGCGACACTGAATGGCTGATTCTTCCTGGAGAATATGCCCGTTCGCGGGTTAGGCGTTGACAGCCCCATTCCCATCATCCAACGCGAGCGATTGGGAACGAGTCCGACTAAATGGTGTATCACATTTCCCGTCTTACGCACACAGAATTACACACGTCACGTGAAAAAAATATATGCTTCGCCCGATGAGAAGGTACTCTGTATATGAATATTCAAACAAGAAACAAAGAGATTTATTCCAAGAATAAATAGAGGTATTGACTAAAATCATTGATTAATTTAGAACGCTTGTTTTGGCTTGTGAACCAGTCACCAAGTATATTATTAGTATTAAGCACGGATTTGGATCGCTGCAAAGACTGACGTTGCATTGTGATGAAGACCGAGCGATTAAAACTTTGCGCAAACCAAAACAAATATTAAGGCTTTGCCTAAAACTTTCGCCGGCATGCAAACTTTTGTATTGTAAATCGGCCTGTATATATATCGCCACCCAAACATACAAAGGACTATAAATACTAAGTTGTATATTGCAGCATTAATTACGCCATGAGTACTAGTAGCTAGTTCACAGACGTTCACTGTACAGGCAAGACACAAGGCTTCTGGGAGAAATATGCTCAACATCCCCTTCACCTTGTCCGCTACAAGCCTGTGACACACTGACAAACATCTTGGTGGCTTCCATTAAGCATTACAGGCCACAGGGCTGCAGATGGTAGTGAACTTTAACATCACTGACATCTTGAATGCATAAATAATTAATGAGCGGTAAACAAAGGAAACCACAACTGTGATACGGCAACTGGATAAGTGATCTTAATTAGCATCAACTCCCAAAATGCCGATTCATTTGTGAATTTGAGATGTCATATCAAATCTGACAATTTGGACTTTACCAGATATCCAGTACTTCCAATTAGTTCAGTCCTCGGATTCTCCTCAGACTTAATTAATTGTGTGTACTGGATATCTGGTAAAGTCCACATAGTTGGATTTGTTATATTGTGTACGTCAAACACACCCTTCTGGAAAGTATGTCATCTTGTTTTTGTAATTACGACGATAAATTTTAACTAATTGTTATATATAGATCAGGGTTAAGCTGAGCGAGGGTGCACAGAGGTGGTTGGGGAGGATACAAAAGCGCTGAAGTACTTAGCATGACTTTCCTTCTTTGAGTGGTTGGGTATGATGTTGCAGGCTAGCTTAGTAGTAAAATAAGCTGGTGTTATACTAAGTAAAGTACCGTATGGCACAATGACAGGTAAAATCGTCTGGCATTAGACTGTAAAATGAGTAAAATGATATAGTGGACGCATTTGGGCGCAATGCAACTTAATGGGTTAACTAGACACTCAATCTTTCCAGAGCAGTATATTCATTTGAGAAATATTCATTATTTAGGAGAATGATGGAAAATGGTACATTATATTCCGACATACCTTCAGAAACTGACCAGTGTGATTGTTGTGACGAATGTGGTCAGGCCTTTCCAATTAAATCAGAAGATGATGTGTCATCTGACAACCAGAATGAAAACAATGACAGCCAAGATGAAGACACTGGCAATTCACCTGAAAAAAAGCATGAATGTGATTTATGTGGCAAGAAATTTATAACATCTGTCGCCGTCTTGTTTCATAAAAGAGCGTCCCATGGTGCAAACTCGACGAACAGTGATTCTTGCAACAGAGAATTCTCAAGTGTAACTGAGTTAGAAATCCGCACAAGATTTCATCTTACTGACAATGACAGTGTAAACCCAATAAATGAGAATTCTTGTGACAGAGAATACCCAAATGCAAATGAAATAGAAACTTTTACAAGACTGCATGATACTCAAGCAACTCAACATGATGAATATCCAAGAAAATGCGATGTTTGTGATAGGGAACTCTCAGATGCAATTGATTTGGAAATTCATAAAGTATATCATAATACGCAAAATAATGATAACTCATTGAGGTGTAAATCCTGCAACAAATTGTTCTCAAATGCAACAGAGCTGAAGTTGCATAAAATATATCATGATGCCATTGATGCAATGGATTTCAATGCCATTGATCCAAAATCATCTGGAAAAAGTAATATGACAAATCATGAATTCAATACTGATGAAAATCTAACAGATCACAATTCCTGTGAATTCTCCGGACAAACAAACATAATTAATTATCAGTCTTGTACTGATGAAAATTCAATCCACAACAATTCTTTGGTCAAAACTTTTGCCACTTCAACAAACTTAACAGGAAGTGAAAGACCTCGTATTAGCAAAACACCGATAAAATGCTTTTGCTGTGACCCAGCACCTATAAAACAAACAAGGTTAAGACGACAAAGACGACGTCATAACCAAAGGGGACATGGTTCAAGAGACAACACCCTCACAAATTTAACTGATGAGGAAATCTTGAACAAATGTATTGGTGGTGAAAATCCAGGTCAATGTGGAATTTGCCATAAAATGTTCGCAGCCCAAGGATACTTAAAAGTCCACGCAGGACATCATATGAAACAACGTCCCTTTCCATGTGACAGTTGTAATAAGTCATTCTTATGCATGCCGCATCTTGATGAACACAAAAGAATACATACTGGAGAAAAGCCTTATAAATGTAATGTTTGTGATAAGAGGTTTTCAGTGAAGGGGAATTTGAAAAAACATGAACTTGTTCATACTGGATTGAAACTGTACAGCTGTGATATTTGTAATAGCTCTTTTTCCACATTGCATACCCTGGAACGCCACTTAATTCACACACATAAAAGAAATATGACAAAGATTTGCAAAGTTTGTAATCAGACTTTCAAAAGATCATGTCATCTTGCAAAGCATCAACGGAAACATACAAAAAGAGACACAGAAAGTAGCCTTGTGTGTACAGCTCCAACCCCTCAGACAACAGACGCCCATGGTGTAACTGAGAAAGGACAAACTGATAATGCAATAGCACACACAAACAGTAGCCAGCCATGTGCAGCATCAACTTTACAGGTTGCAGACATGCCAACAGAAAGCAGGCCAACATATAGTGAAAGGTTAGGAAAATGCAGACAATTGAATCGAAGAGGATGCAATTCTAGGGACAACACTGATGATGAAATATACAACAAATGTCTGTCTGCTGAAAATCCTGCTCAATGTGGAATTTGTCACAAAACATTCTCCGGACGATATTACTTACAAATTCATGTAGGATCTCACACAAAGGAACGGCCATTTCCATGTGACATTTGTAACAAGTCATTCTTACAAATGCAGCATCTTAATGAACATGAAAGAGTTCATACCGGAGAAAAGCCTTATAAATGTAAATTTTGTGATAAGAGGTTTACAGTGAAGGGGAATAAGACAAAACATGAAGTTACTCATACAGGATTGAAACTGTACCCCTGTGATATTTGCGATCGCTCTTTCGCAAGAATATTCGGTCTGGAACGTCATTTAAAACGCAAACATAAAAGAAATATTACAAAGATGTGCAAGATCTGTAACCAGAGTTACAATAAATCATGCCATCGTGCAAACCATCAACGGCAACATACAGGCCGGAAAGACAACAAAAGTAACTTGAATGCAGTTCCAAACCCCCAGGATGCAGCCGTAGAGAAGCAAACAGAAACCAGAATGGAGGGCAGTACAAGAGCACAAACAGAAAGTAACCAGCCATGTACAACTGTAAGCGTTGCAGGGACACACAGACTGACAGATAATGGGCTGACAAATAATACAAAGACATACACAGATAGTAGTATTGTGTGTTCAGCTTCATCCCCACAAGTTTGTGATCTACATAAACCAGCAGAAAGCAGAATAACAGATGGTGTAAGAGCATACAAGGGAAGTAGCTTACATACAGTTCAAACTCTCCAGGTTGCAAATGTTCTTCATCGGCCAACAGAAAGCAGAACGACGGATAATGTAAGAGCATACAGTGAAAGTAACTTGAATGCAGTTCCAACTCTTCAAGTTGCAGATGTTTTTCATAGGGCAAGGGAATGCCGGACAAGAGAACTTTCATCCAATTGCAACAATACAGTTGAAACGTCTCCAACTCGCCATGTTGCAGATGTACAACGGCTTACAGAAGAAAGAATAGCAGATAACAGAACAACAGCGACCCCCTCTACCTGCCAAAGAACTGAAGCCTTGTCAGCTTCTTACTCTGAGAATTCCAACACACAACATCACGATGATCAACAGTTCATCGAATTCATATCATGTGACCAAGTTGACGAAGACAAATTGTACCATGAGCTCGAAGCAACCGAACCAACTGGAATGACATACATATGCTTCACATGTGACGCAGAATTTGAATTGCCATGGCAACTACTTAAACATGTTGCAAACGTTCACACAGATTAATAACGTTTAAACTGACATAGTTGTACAAGGTTCATATTATTAGCATGTGGGACGTTTGTTTAGGGTTTTACAGTTTCTATTTTAAGCACCAAAAAACTTTGTTTTGTCTGCATATTAATGCATAACACACCATGTAAATATTTGGTTTTGTAATTGAATAGTGTAGTCACTCATGTTTTCTTTGAATTCTACTTAAATATGACTTTCAAATCCTTTTATATTTTTGAATGCAATTATATTAATCATTCATTATTTCTGACAAATTGGTTTAATAACTTAATTATTAACCAATTACCAATATTAAAGCGTGGTATAACTAATAATTGTCAAATATTGTTCTGTAGCTTTAGAAATAAATAGCCAAAATTCCTTAGAAAGTAACACAAAGCCGTTTACGGGCTAACACGGACAGATATATCAGTCTACTTTTCCAAATTTGCTGCCAAAAGACAATAATTACATTTACAGTACATTTCAATTTTCAAGTCAAAATACGTTCAGAATGACTACATTTTAGCTCAAAAGAAAAGAAAAAACATAAAATACAAAACACATACTTGCTTTCTTTTTCCAAAGCCTTCAAAAAGTGGTGTTTTTCGTTTAAAATGAACAGCGTATAATATATTTTCCAACTAGGCGCCATATTGTTATGCAAATGAGCAAGCCCGAACTTGCCCAACCCAAACTTAACCGGCTAATTTTTTCACCAAATCAAAATATCCGCCTTTGGCTGTGATTGGCTCATAGTGGTTTGGCTAAACCAATCATAGCGGGCTGATTCAGTATCGCATTTTATGCAAACTGTGTGCCAGGCGACGGCCTTGGCTCAAAAGTCAAAACGTCGAAATTTCACTCCTATTTTTCAGGTAGTTGAACCCTCTCAATACACGAAACCAGAGACAAGAAACTGTTCTTCCTACTAACCCGCGAAAAGGCATACTCTGGGAATGAGATTGCAAGTCCATGTTGCTGATATAATTTATTTATTTATTTATTTATTTTATGTTACAAAATTTGCCAAACACAACAAACATAAATACCAATAAAACATTAAACAATTTGCATGAAGTAAAGCCGGGACTGGCTAAAAAGATAAATCACCAATAACTGGCTCCCAATAATTATAATAATCAGGTTATACAAATAAATGTAACCTTTTGTATCATTCTTGAACAAGTGAATAAAATTAGAAATTTAAAATAATTTCAGGTTGACAACCCGTGTTTTTCTTTGTCTAAATAGCAGGTTGTATTTCAGTGCAACAATATTAACGATAAGAGTCATATAACTCGGTTCTAAAGAGGTACTAGGCGTTTTGAATATGTAGTTTCAAGTGTAGTTTAAACTATCGAACAAGAACTCTACTTCGATCAAATAAATAATGTAGAGATCAATTATGAAATTGAGGTGTCAATCAAATTATCCAATTAATATTATAAGCCATAAGGAGTATTTTTTACCAACTCCACAGAGATGGCTTTCTTCATTGGCACATTGTGTACACTTGTGTTAGTTTGCTGCGGTGTCCATTGGAAAACAAGATCGGGCAGCGATTCAGGGCACAGTTGCAGTGAATTTAAGAAATTTCAAAGGACATATATTACGGTCTATCTGTTTGCAACAGGTAGGTAAAGGTCTAGACTTGCTACAAGTAACTTGTCTCGTATTGTAAATTTGTAAGGAGTAAAGGCTTGGTCAAACGATGAGAAGTGAGAGTTTGCATGAGAGTTTTTTCATTTCTCACGCATGAGAACACGGAGCGAACAAAACGAATGGGCGAGCGAAAATCCGAAGTTTAAAGCCGGAAGCGACCTTTTTCCTTTGTCGAAGCAAACTTTTTCCTTTGTCGGCATCCATTTTGCCACGTCTTGCTGACGTAATAAGTGATACCGACAAAGGAAAAAGGTCGCTTCGCGCGAGAAAATTCGCTAGTGGAAAACCGGCTTAAACATCTAATATCTTGTTTTAAAACAAGATGTGTCAGCAACGGGCTTGTAAGCAAGCTTGTCAACATGAAGTTGTAACAATGCAGTCAATGCTGTTATTTTATCAAGTTGCTACAAGGTTGTCACTCGCAACTTGTTGACAAATTGTCGAATTGCAAGACGGTAACAAGTTGTTGGAACAACTTGTAACAATTCTGTTGAGCTCAACAACCTTATAGCAAGTTGTCAACAAGCCGTTGACAACTTGTCAACAAGCTGGGAACAAGCACTGCGAACACATCCTGTTGACAAGTTGTTGGAACAGCATTGCTACAAGTCTGCTGCAGGTTTGTTACAACTTGTGCGTTTTTACCTGTGTAATACATGTCCATACTCTCTCTCCTTTACTTCCATCGATAGCATTCTCTACAATGTCTACCATCCCACATCTTCTGATCTCTTCATTCGTCGTTTAGCTTCAGACTGGCTACAGGGCCCACATGTCTACGCGTTGTACGAAAGTTATGGATTGACTTCCAAACAGATCGGAGAACTGTTCGTTGGTGGCTTCGCTTCATCTATGATTTTTGGAACATTCATTGGATCCCTTGCGGATAAATGGTAAGACAACAGCCGATAAAACAGCCTTAACTGCCTTTCCTTTCGCGGGCTGTTCGGGATGAATCGTGTCACGACATTTTTTCCCGACCATAAAAGATCGTTTCAATGAACTTTATTATATTGTTGCTGGAATCAAACTAACCTAACTTCACGATCAATTTTTAGTGGTCGAAGACTAAATTGTTTCATTTATGCGATGTTATACGGCATAGCCTGCATCACAAAAGTAAGTAAATATATGATATATACAGAGATTTACTTGTACACACGTAAAAACGCACAAGTTGTAACAAACTTGCAGTAGACTTGACAGTTGTAGCAATGCTGTTCTAACAACTTGTCAACAGGATACGTTCGTACTGCTTGTTTCCAGCTTATTGACAAGTTGTCAACGGCTTGTTCACAACTTGCTACAAGGTTGTTGAGCTCAACAGACTTGTTACAACTTTTTATCGTCCTGCAATTCAACAATTGTCAACAAGTTGTGAGTGACAAGCTTGTAGCAACTTGATAAAATAACAGCATTGTTACAACTTGTTAACAAACTTGCTACAAGCCTGTTGCGAACACATCTTGTTGACAAGTTGTGAGATTTTTACGTGTTTATTTCAAGGTACATTTTTCCGGTAAACCTTACTCAAAGTGTTTGTAAAGATTTATATTTTGAATGTCTATGTTTTTTAGCATTTCTCTATTTATAATGTCTTAATGGCAGGACGAATTCTCGCTGGAATTGCGACTTCGATTCTGTTCAGTGCTTTCGAGTCCTGGGCAATTTGTGAGCATTCCAGTGTAAGTATTTAGTTCTTTGTCTAGTTGTGGGTAATAATTCTTCGTCTGTAGACGAGTACGTATCTAATGGCGTCTTCATTGTATAGAGACAATTGAGTGAAGATTCAATGGGAACTCTGTTTGCAAACGCGGTACTTGGAAACTCTATCGTGGCAGTAATTGCTGGGCTTGTAGCGGAATTGGTAGCAAGTAAATTTGGATTTGTGTAAGTTACCTTAAATGCACGCTAGAGAATTGCCTGGCAAGGGGAATAAATTGAAAATTTTGATAATAATGATAATAATATTTTATTGAGGGAATTCATTCATCCCAAGATGCTTTTCAATGAAGCCCTCACCACAAATACAATATTATACATATATGAATATCTGTAAGAAAACTATCCTAAGTTATAATACTATTAAAAAAAGTTAAAAATATGCTAAACTTAAATGGTAAAATGTTAAGAGAGAAGTTTTCTTTTAAAAATATTAAAATTAGCTATATTCTTAATGTCATTATCTAAGTCATTCCAATCCTTCGCTGCCTGATATATAAAGCGTTGTTTTCCCCATTCTGTTTTAACTTTTGGAAGATAAAGGTTGGCACTCCGACGAGTGGAGTAACTATGGCGGTTGCAGTTCTGAATCAGTATTAATTCTGTGTCCATAGTGCCATGAAGGCACTTATGAATTGCAATGCAACGATGTTGTTGACGTCTTGTATTTAGTTCTACCCAATTTAATTTCTGAAGGGCATCAGTAGCCGAGTGTGTGCGTGGTAATCCCAGTATGACCTTTGCGGCCTTGTGTTGCAAAATTTCAGATAAATCATCCATCAGAACTTTGTTGTTTTTATCCCCCCAAACCAAATCGTAATACCCAAGTACTTGGCCGTCGCGGATTGATTTACTTGATGACCTTGTACTGTCACCTTGATACCATCGCAGGACTTGAGTTTGCGTGAGCTACCAATCAAAACAAACTTCGACTTCTCAGCATTCAACGTTAAGAAATTATTATTGAACCAAACTGTTATGTTTTCCAGTTCTTCGTTAAGTTTAGTTTCAACATCGCTAACCATGGTTCCTTGTGATTTTCGTCATCCTTTTGTGATTTTCGTACCGGTATCATGTAAACATGTTGACAATTTCAATTTTCATTCCGGTTTGACTTCGTCCCCGTTCTCATGGAAACGGGGCCTAAAGGTCCATGCAGACCGGACGCAATTTGGCAACGCGAATTTTCAGTTTTCAATGACATTTAACTTTAATATTTTTCAATGTTTTTTTAAATATTTGGAACTACTCAAGCAATTTTAGCTATTTGGTCTGCATATCTTGTAAAATCTTTATCCGCTAACAGTTTTATTTGTTTTTAAAAACTGAAAATTCGCGTCGCGTTGTCGAATTGCGTTCGGTCTGTATGGGCAAAAGTATGATATAAAAAGTAAATAAAGGATTTAAAGGAGGGAAACTATAAGTAAAGAAGATGGGAATAAAAGACGAATGAAGAAGGGAGGGAAGCGGGGAAAATGAAGACAGGAAAGAAAGTAGGAAAAATGAGGAAGGAAATTGAAGAACCACGAAGTAGGAATAGTGTAGCAAAAAATGTGTAATGGAGGATTAGGAAAGTGGAGAAAAGAGACACAAAAGGCATAAATTGAAGGTTTTAAAAAGATAAAGCACGATGGAGTAAAGGAAAGTAGAAATAAAGAATGAACAAATAGAAAAAAATTACAAAAATTAGAAAAGGAACAAGGAGGAATATATAACTGAAATAATAACTTTAAAACACAGAGCGCCGTTTGATGTTTCGCTGTCTACATTGTTCATTATGGCGCTGATTATGATGTGCACTTGGAATGAAAATTATGGAGACAAAACTAGAAATGTCATGTTCTCTTTTCAAGAAGCCATAACTGTTATTCGAAAAGGTACACTGTTATATACTGCGCTACAAACATAAGAATACAAAAATTAAGCTATGGATTTTGCATGTGTTTATAAGCCAAGAAGCTAAAATTTTACAAAATCTGTTTTAGATCGAAAAGTATTGTGCCTGGGTCTAATACAGTCGCTCTTTGAAGGTGCTATGTACACCTTTGTCTTGGAATGGACTCCTGCCCTGACCTCGGGTAAAGACCTATAGTTTCTAGTCTGAAAATGTATATATATATAATTATCTACTATTAAGCCCTGCAGGACAAACTAGGAAACATTGTTGCGGAAACATTGTTTCCTGCCAATGTTTCGCCATGTTTTCCAAGGTGGGCAAACACTAGGAAACAATGTTTCCGCAACAAAAATCGCACTGAGAAACATGAAATGTTTCTGAATTTGATAGGAAACATTTCTGCTTCTCGGGAAGCAAATTGTGTTTCTGCAACGATGTTTCCACGAGTGGGCAAACACAGAAACACTTGAGGAAACATGGCGAACACAATATTTCCGCAACAATGTTTCCTACTTTGCCCAAGGCTTTAGTTCTTGCCGAATAGTAAAAAAATAACGAGGGTGATTCTCTAATTGATAAAAATTTTCTATTTGTGTTATTGATAGATGTGTCAGTGCAGAAAGAAACGATACCACATGGGCTTATATTTTCCAGTTTTATGGTATGGTATTTTGTTGAATAGTGAAAGTATAAAAAGTAAAACCTTATGAACATCATATTTTGATCTGTAGATCGCAGTGATGATTGGTTCGGCTGTTTTTAAAATATTGAGCAGAAGATCGAATGTAGAATCTTTTATGAGGTATTCGTTATCACTTTAAACACAAGTGACAAGACGATGTAGTCGTTTTGCATAGTACTTTTTTAGTTAAGTATATAAAGCCATTTGCAGATAAATACTTATGAAATAAAACATATTATATGAAGTTTCTGTTGTTATTTATGTAGGATCGTGTATTTTATAGCAACGGCCGCTCTCTCAACATCTGTTTTTATGCCAAGGGTAAGTTTTACCCAACATTCTCATAGCGGAATGTTTTTACAAAACGACCAGGCATTTGTCTGAGCTGAATATCTTTTTCTTCGTACAGGGCCATATCCTGATTTATTTTAGTTTTTTGGTGTTCGAGTGCTGTGTAGGAATATTTTGGCCGGCAATGGCGACAATGAGAGGAAAATATGTACCAGAAGAAAGTAAGTTCAATATAAACAAGTTATAATTACAGTAATTCTATTAGACACTAATCACGTTGTTAATTAGAACTAATTAGTTAATTCAGTACTTCGCGGGGCTTGTTCCAATAATACATATAGTGCCTCTATGAGTTAACTATTTTCTTATTATTATCAGTACATACATAAAAAATCTCACAACTTCTCAACAATGTGTGTTCGCAACAGACTTGTACGTGCTTGTAGCAAGCTTGTCAACAAGTTGTAACAATGCTGTTATTTTATCAAGTTGCTACAAGGTTGTCACTCACAACTCGGTGACAAATTGTTGAATTGCAGAACGATAACAAGTTGTTGGAACAACTTGTAACAAGTCTGTTGAGCTCGAAAACCTTGTAACAAGTTGTTGACAACTTGTCAACGGGCTGGGAACAAGCAGTGCGAACACATTCTGTTGACAAGTTGTTGAAACAGCATTGCTAACCCACATCACCGTAGTGGGGTCCTGAAAAATTACATCGATGTGCAAACATGACATACTGAGGATTTCGATTTACCGTTTCAGCGCTTTAATTCCCGGTAATTGTTTTCCCGTTGAAACATACACGTTTCTAACGGTCAATGTCAATGTTACTAAGTGAAGTCTAGTGGTCTTTGTCCGCTGTTTTCTTGTCCGTTGTTTATCATTTGTAAATGTAACTGTTATATTCGTGTTTATCTCGTCTTTGGCAACATTTGGATATATAATTTACAAAGCTTTGTGGATCATTTCATGTTTTTATTGATATTTTGGAAATTGTAACGTATAAAAGGCTTCAAAATTATTTACTGGCCTTTTATACGCTACAATTTCCAAAATATCAATAAAAACATGAAATGATCCACAAAGCTTCGTAAATTATATATCAAAATGTTGCCAATGACGAGATAAATACGAATATAACAGTTACATTCACAAATGATAAACAACGGATAAGAAAACAACGGATAAGAAAACAACGGACAAAGACCACTAGACTTCACTTAGAAACATTGACATTGGCCCTTAGCAACTTGTTCGTTTTAACGGAAAAACAATCACTGGAAACGGAAACCCTGAAACGGTATTAAAATCGAAATCCGCAGTATATTGTCCTAACACCCCATGGGTCCTCTATCAGTTCTCATCAATATTCACAATAACAAAATATATACTTTACACCTCAAACATATCTGTCGCATCATGCTACAACTTCAACCCCTATTTCCGCCTCAGCTCTGAACTCAGATTCTTTAAAGAAAGTAACAGAAGTCACTTGGAAACGGTTCAGTTGCCCCACACTTGTATTATTCACAGGCTGAAGACACCACAACCAGATAGTGCCTTGCTCCGTTGGCAGACTTATGCCGCTCCAAAATGTAACAGTTTCAACCACATTGTGTATTCCTTTCAACATTGTTTCCATATCCTTGTCAGCAATTTCAATAGTTCCTCTGTGCACGCGTCTTTCATCCAGTCTATGGGCTTCGGGTACTTGAAATGTTCCCATGTAAGTGCCAGAAAATGTCTGACCGATAAGCTTTGAATATGTTTCTTGTAAGAGCGGTTCGTTGACTTTAACTCGCCGTATTTTTAGCGGTCTCAATTCTGGTGGACACCAAGGCATATTGTTCAAGGGTTATTCCAAAGTTTTACTGAAAAAACTGGCGATTTATGTTGTAGAATAGCAGACAGACATTGTAGTTGTTTTGTTATGTTGTCGAGCGGTTTAACATTAATCATTATTTCGTTGTATCAAATTTCTTTTGTAAAACGCACCACGGGATAAGAGGATTTAATTACATAGTTGAATAAGATTTTTCAATACAGGAAGTTTCTTTTTGTTGAGAACGAGATATAATAAGATTTTTCCACTGTTAGAACTGTTAAGGCAGGTTTACACTATTCTAAGTTTTGAAGGATTTGTAAGAAATGTTTAATAAGGGAACACTCAATCAGTTCCCTCAAACATTTCTTACAAATCCTTCAAGACTTAGAATTTACCTATGCAAAATTCCTACTGTGATCACAGAAACTTTAATAGTGTAAACACAGTATAGATCTGTTTGCCACTAATGGAAAACGTGGAGTTTTTGAAGTTTAAATCGTATCGGTTTTGGGTCGTTATAGGTATAAAATATCTTGTTAGTAGTTGAATACAGAAGTTGGTTGTTCATCGTTGATATTTTTCAAGCTCTTTGTTTAGCTCAAATCACAGCAGTGCTATGTGCATCTAGTTACAAGGTCTTGCAAACTAGACCCCACGAACAGCTAAATTACTCTAATTAGTTCTAATTACTAATTAATGTAACAAGGTGATTAAATAATTGTTTTAAAATTTAAATCAAGGATCACACAAGAGGTTTTTGATATTTTTACTTTAGCGTGATTAATGTCCAAAATATGGGTTTCATGCAGCAGATTGTGGCAAACCTGCAGTTACGAGAAAATAATGTCAATTCTTTCATTGCTCGGCATATTCTTATTTTGTCTAGCTCGTGCAACAATCATGAACATTTTCAGAATTCCTTTAAATCTCATTGTGATCCTGGTATTATTACAGGTAGGGTAAAGATAGATGGGTTATTTGTTGATGGAATTTTCGAACTTAAATTTCGATTGACCTCTATACGTAGAAGTTGCGAAAAATGCAACTTACTGTAGGCCCTTTGCCAGGAAACGAACCTATGGCCCTGCGATTTCCGCGCTCTAACGAACTGAGCTACACTGGTGAAGATCAGCTGTGCGGAACTTAGAACCTTTTTCTGAGCTATAACACTGTTTCCCAAGCAGAGCAAACAAATTAGAAATTCAAGTCAGTATTTTCTTTGCGTTCTATAGGATCTTCCGTTAAGCACAATTTTCGTTCTCTGTGTGATATTTCTGGCCTGTTGTTGTGTTGTTCAAGAACTATTTTGCAGGTTGGTAGCGATTTCAGGAAATTTCTATAACCGTTTGATTATAAAGATCAAAAAGAGTAATATAGTTCTTTCCAATTTTAGATTGACACAAGAACACACAGACATTTCAACAGAGATATCAGGTAAAGTTGCGTATAGCCTTCAATTGTCACAAAGCATTGAGATCTGTACAGATAATTCACTCATTGCCGAATGGACACATATGCAGGAAAATAGCAGCTAAATAATAGCAACTAAAATAATTTTGCAATCTGTTTTAACGTCTTCTTAATAGTCCTATGCAGTCCAAGACTATAGTCCTAGGTAGTCCAAGACTATAGTCCCAAGTAGCCAATGCCTATAGTCCCAAGTAGCCAATGCCTATAGTCCTAAGTAGTCCATGACTATAGTCCTACGTAGTCCAAGACTATAGTCCTAAGTAGTCCTTGACTATAGTCCTAAGTAGTCCATGACGATAGTCCTAAGTAGTCCATGACTATAGTCCTAAGTAGTCCATGACGATAGTCCTAAGTAGTCCAAGACTATAGTCCTACACACGCCAAGAATACAGTCCTAAATTTTCCAAGACTATAGCCCCTAAGTAATCCATGGCTATAGACTCTAGTCTTATTAGTCCGTGGCTCTAGTTGTCCTATAGATGTGGCCTTATCAGTCCATGATTATACTCGTATTAGTCGCTTCCTATAGTAGCAGCCAGAGCAATTACAGTGAAACGTTGCCACCTTCTCCTTCATTAGTATGTGAAATATTAGGCAAGACTGAATATTGTTTCCCTAACTGCAAACTCCCTCTATCAACTCTCTTTTTCTTGTCTAAGAACATCGAAAAATCTGGGGCCTCATTTTTCCCAGGCGGCGGACTCTCTTCAGGTATCGCCTTTCTAGCGCTGTTTTTCTCCAATTTTGGTAAAATTCGTGGACTTTTTGGCGGTTCCCTTCCGCCTCGTTGATAGTAATTCACAAAGTTCGCATTTTTTGCTTCAGGCCTTATTTCCATGGAACTTGGCACTGTCAGTGTATGATTTGCTTTCTCATTTTCTCTTCCCAATATTCGGTTTGTTATGCCCAGTCGATTTGAAGTTTCCAGTAAATTTAGTTCTGGTTTTGATTTTGTGTTCTTCTTATTTGTTAATTCAGATTGTTCGCCCTCAAAGCATTGTGCGATAGATTCGTGTTCGTCTTGAGGGATTGAAGGTCTTCTCCGAAGCCTTGCTGATCGTGGGCGGTCGGAACCCGAAGAACGTTTGTTCATTGAAAATGGCATCGAGATTTGTCAGTGGCAGACTTTAAACGATGGTTTTTGTAATGACTGATAAACCGTGCTGAAAACGCCAATAATTGTCATGTCTTTCAATCTATAAGGGAAGAAATTTTGCTGTATATACATGGGCGGTTTTCATTAAGCACTATCGTGCAGCAGATGGTGGTCGACCTACAGAGTTATCACAGCGAGAAACTGATGCACGCCAAACAATTGAGAAATATACAATTACTTTATGGTTTCCGTGTTTGGATGGCCTGATCCAAACACGGGTTTCGACCAATCAGAGCACGCGTTATATACATGTTATTTTATAATGTAGTTTACTAATTTTCTTCATCGCTCCTTTATTATATGGACAATGGTGTAAAAACTAAAACACTCGTAGAACTCATGATGCGCGTATTTTCCGCATTTCACCCCTGCTAGTGACATACGAAGTTCGAAAATTTCCCGCCATTTTCATTGTTGTTTTTGAAAAAATAAATGGTCTTTCGTTCGTATATAAATCGAAATTATAACGTTGAAAATAAAACGAAAACATTTAAAAGACATCTTAAGTAAAATTTATTCTAGTTTTATGTTTGCAGTTTATGTTTGGTCTTTCGCATGCTTATTTACATGTCGTCTTTGTGTGTATTTTTGTCACTCTGAGTAAGTCCATATAATAAACAGAACATTGAACGGTTGCGAAAAGATATGGATTTAGTTCTCGTGTCAAAAACAATATCTCACTCGTTCGCTGCGCTCACTCGTGAGATATTGTTTTTGCCACTCGAACAATAAAATCCATATCTCCTCGCAACCGTCTATTATCCTCTACATATATAACTGCCAACATTTCTATCGATGACCACATCAGCTGCTCCATAATGCTTAATGCGTGAAATCTACCAATTTAAGAATGAAGACATTTTAACTTTTTATAAATTAATAAAAATTATTTATTTACTTTTAAGGAATTTGGTTTCCAAATATTTAGGCGGCTGTAGAAACAAAGTTGCCAAGGATGAGATAATGTATTCTTTCAAGCAAAAACAAAATTTTTCCATACGATTATAGAGAAGAACCGCATAAGATATTTGTCGTATACGTACGAGAACTTTAAAAAAATTATCCTAAAATTCATAACAAACAACTAAAATGTCTAAAATTAAAGGTAGACATGTGTACATATAGAATTGTCGTAAACTTGCATGGCACTCAACTCAAGTTAATTGTTAGTTCTTATTCAATTGTTAGTTCTTATTCAATAGTAGTACATCTGTCCATGTGAACTTATATATACCGATTCCCTAGAGAAAACTATGAAAAAACGCTCCCAATTTTCACAACAAATAAAAACTAAAAGCTCACAAAAATAAAAGCTGATCTATACTGTACGTGAACGTGTATATTTGCCATAAACTTCTCATAATTGTCACTATGGCTCTCGACTCAAGTTAATTATTAGTTTTTTTTCAATATAGAGGAACAAAATATATATAAAATGAATTCATGTACGTTGTACACATATTGTATATAAAATTGTATATGCGTGTTATATGTAATAAAAATAACAAAATTGCACAGATTTTAGCCTCAAAACAAATCGTTTGGGCATTTGGCCTTTGATTTCGAAACCATAGTAGTGTATAAATATACACAAAACGTTTTAACACCAAAGGCAAAGACGTGTCGTATACAAGCCCATGTAACTTATCGATTCATAAACTAAGTTAAAATTAATTAAAATTGTTTATAATACAAAAGAAACTTACGCTTGAGGCTTAAATTTCGTCTTTTTGTCCACAGTCGATTGATTCCTTCCAACAGATAAGGGAAGATGTTATTTTGTTGTTCCTTCTGTAGATATCAAAGCAATGTTTGCGAGTTTCACAGGAAAGGTTGCGGAAAACATTCCCTGTAAACAAAAGCCCACATTCAATTCATTTTCAGATTTCAAAGACGGTACCGAAATAGTTTTTATCAAAACACAAAATATATATTCATATTTACACGACAGCTGTGTTTTGCTTTGGAGTAAAAGTAATAAAAATACTTGCCTATGTTTTAGCACTTCGACATGAATAGAACTCTCTCAAAAATATCGTCAACGTCCGGTTTCCAATAAACATTTCTCACTGGAGAGCCACAAATTCCCACAAAACAACTACTAAATGTTTGGCCGGCTTTGGGTTTACTTCTTACTGTTTTAGTTTCGTAATTTAATTTCGGAGCAGGTCACTTTTTAATAATTAAAACCCGCGAGATCTATCGAGTTTATATAATCAAGGTAAAGGTCGCCCCTCCTCACATTTTGCATGTGGGCGAGTCATTAATGGCGAGTCATGTAGCCAAGAGGCGTGTTAATTTTTAACCGGCCGAAGAAATTTGGGGTTAATTATTGTAATTGTACCACGCGAACGGCCGGTTTGAAAGCAATAGGCATTTCAGCATGTAGATTCGGCTCTGCAAGCAATCCCAGGTGGCCTTTCGCTGGCGTCCTAGCTGCCGGCGACTATTAACGCAATGACATTTATCGCACAATACAAAAGAGAAATTATGGAATACTAGATTCCCCTTATTACGTTTTCGTAACGCTTTGCATTGTGGTTATAGTGGTATCACCGATATTGAAGACGACTTATTTTTTGTCCTGACCGTGCAAGAACTTTTAAAAAAAGCTAGGGTCAGGTGCGCGATATAGCCAACAGCAAAATATTCGCGAAAACATTCAATATTTTCATTCGAGGCCGCTATCTTTATCGCTACGAAAACGTAATAAGGGGAATCATCAATTGACCATTTGCGTAATAGACAAAATTTTGATCTAAACAAGTCTGGACAAAAATTTTATCACAGCTTGAAAGAGCATCACAAAATTAGTAATATTCCAACGTTTCGTTGCGAAATGTTGTAAAATGCGGATGATATAGCCTTGCGAAGTTTGCCGAATTTTCAGTCATTTTAGATTACAAACGGAAAATTGACAGCCTCGAAGCGTATCGGGCCAGTCAATTTCCCATTTGTAATCTAAAATGACTGTAAATTGCAAACTTCGCAAGGCTATATTATCCGCATTTTACAACATTTTGCAACGAAACTTTGGAATATTACTAATTTTGTGATGCTCTTTCAAGCTGTGATGAAATTTTTGTCTAGATCAAAATTTAGTCTATTACGCAAATGGTCAATTGGCAGTTCACAACTGTGGGCAGTCCGAGATGTTGACAAAGCACGTTTTGTGTAAAACATTTCAAGCAATGACACGTACTTAGGGACGGGTCATTATTTATGGCGGGGGTGGCACCGAAGAGAAAAGGGTTGGTTAAACAAAATTTTGAGTGAGTAAAAGGTTGGGTAAATGAAAAACAAAACAACTCAAGGGTTGGGTAATAAAAATTTATTGTCATTTCCAAAGCATGACCCACTGAAAAGCAATGTCAACAGTCATTTGTCAATACAATATGTGAATCAGAGTCACTATCTTGATCATTTTCACAAAACAAATTGTGTTTCCAAAAAAGTACATGTGCAGACAACATGAAACTTTAGACTGCACAAAATTTCACAAGCCGTTATCAAACTCATGTCACTGAAATGATCAGCACATGTATGACAACTGAATGGTATCCTTTTGTTAAGTTTTAATTGATATTTGAGGTTGAGTAATCAAATTTTTGTCTTTTTAATGGTTGGGTCAGCAAAATTTTTGACACGGAAAACATTTTCACTCTCACTCATAAATAATGACCGGTCCCTTAAGAGCGAACGTAAGCAAGCCAAGCCATGTTTTTGTCAACACGGACGTCAGGTTGCCGGGGGGGGGGGGGGATCGGATTAAAAACTGTGTTTATGTCAGTTTGTTGTAATCTTCAACACATATGACAAAACATAAGATTTCTAAAGTTTTTTTGCTTCCTTACACGAGCGCTACGATGCAAAATGCCGCCAAAATTAGTTATACCAATTTACGTCGTCCCCAGACTCAAACCGCATTTTGAGGTCAAAGCTGTTCGAGGTTACGGCAATTTGTCAATACAACTGAAGCATCAATGAACTACTTGGCTGTCGAAAACGTGCAGAAATTAGTTTGGCAAATGCAATTTGAAGTTTGCCGCTATAGCGGACAGTCCGATCTGCGCATGTGCACAAATGAGCCCACTTTTTATGATACAAACAGTTTACCTATGTTTTGAGTTCTTGAAAAGCCTGATTGTTGTTTCTTTATCATTTATTATACTCTAGAAGCTTGAAAATATAACTAGTTGTCGAATAAAGCTCAATATTTTGGACACAAAAATGTAAACAAAGGCTTTGTTTACGTACGGACTGTAGATCACCTTTAAGCCATAATTATTCAGAAAAAAACTGTAATCTGTCAAAAGTTGTGCTGATTTGAGGTCAAAAATATGCTTTTATTCATGTGCTGATCACATAGATATCTTATATACACTAGATAGCGCATCTCTTTTAGTAAAATTGAAGCCAAGAATATTCCAGCGGTTACCCCCATTTGAATAGATGGCGGCCATGTTGGTCGTTCCCACTCGCTAATAAACACTTAAAAACAACAATAACTTTCATCATTTGAATACTTTTGGAAAATGTACTTGGAATAGAGTTAACTTAATATTTAAGTTCCCTGCTTAAAAAATAGGAAATATACGAATCTTCTCATTTCGTGGGAACGACCCGAGACTGCAATCACGGCTTCAATTTTTGAATTGCAGAATAATTAGATGAACTATCTAGTGTATATCAGATATCTATGGTTGATCAGTGTTTGTTCAAAGCAAATCCGTGTCAGACCCATATCAGTTCAAACTCAGTCTTGCCCAACAGAAGTCATTCTCATATAACTCCGCAGGCCGTACCTGCAAACGGGCGCACTCTGCCTGACGAAATTAGGGAATCACTACGGCCAAAGCCCTACTCACGCTCCTTACCGCGTGTAAGACGGGATCTGGGTACGAGAATGTGTTAATATGTGTTCCTATGTGGGACACTGCATATAGTTTTTGGAAAGACAAATATGTGTTGATTTATTTTCGAAAGGTAATGATTCATAATACATATATGCATTGAACTTGTGTTTGGTATAACTGAGTATAGATGTAAAGGAAATATTTTTCGCTGCTATAATTCTAACACTTCTTAAGGCCCTGTCACATAATAGCGTATGAGAGAAACGTATGAGAAGCGTATGAAAATTAATGAAATAATTTCAATACGCACAAAAATCCTTTGAAATGTCAGCGTATGAGTACCGTATATCTGGCGTACCTCTAGCGTATTCAGCGTGTGCCTAGAGTATGCTTATCGTATAAAGCATACGTTCGATACGCACAAAATTTTTGAACATGCTTAAAAAAAATTTTCTGCCTCGCCGTATGCCACGCCGTATGCCACACCGTACGCGACCGTGCTTAAAACGTATACAACCTATGCCTAACGTAGCCCTAGCGTATATCAGCGTATACCGGCGTATGAGTGATATTTTTCATACGCTGGCATACGCTAGTACGATACGCAATAGTGTGACAGGGCCTTTAAGCCTGGTTCACACTGGTCGTAATTCATCGGCGATCTATTGTATTCTTTTCCGACAGACAAAGCATTTTACACACCAATGACCAGAGACAATGGAAATCCCCGATTCTTACGACCAGTGTGAACCAGGCTTAACTCAGAATTTGTTTGCCGATTCGTGCTGCTTTTTCAATAAACGTGTATACTAATTGTGTTTTATATTGTCACTGGCAACCGCTTAAAAATATCTTAAGCATTTCAAGACAATGGTGCGGGCAATAAACTAGGAAAATGGTTGACAGAAACAATTAAGTTTTAATCTCAATAAGGCTAATGTTTACCACGGCACGTCTGAGTTCATTTCATTGAAATTAAACGATTGTGTAGATGCAGATGATAGACGTTCTTGTGTACGAAATGTACACAAATAAATATTTGACCGATAATAACTTTAAGCGTATTGCAAGTTGGCGCAGACAGTCAAACTGGTTTCAATAAAAGTCGGGTTTTATATGCGACTATATACATGGTGATCAAGTGGAAGTATATTAAGATCATTGATTAAGATTGGTTACCAGGCAAAGTGGTTTTGAATGACATATTTCTTGTTGGGCAATAGCGAATAGAACAATACAACACACGATAAGTAACAACATACGTTGACATAAGCTGAAAACGGTTCAGAGGAGATCAAACTTGACAGGCATTCGAAGGTGCTGTTGAGACCGTTTCCTCGCACAAGAAAAGCTCTAAAGCCTTTTGACGTACATCGTAAGAGAGTTGCAAAAGTTGCTACATATATCAATGAAGAGAAAAGAATATCCCGATGCTCCGCACCACAATAAAAAGCAAATGAAGAAAAATGGAAATATCGAGTCTTCTTTTGAGAAGCTTTTAAAATGGAGAGAAAATGAACACCTTCGCGTGTTAAACCTTACGGAACAATGTGGTACCATTGGACATGATAAATTACAGTTGGATATTGAAGACATGAAGTCTAAAGTTGACCAGACAAGACAATGTAAAATAGCAGTAATCAAACAATAAGCTCCAGAAATATGCTCGTTTGTCCTTAACCAGTGGAGGGCCGAGACTTCATGAATGTGAAATATAACCAGTTTTCATATTCTCGTTCGGGGGGGGGGGATAAATATCTGGGGGGTACTGCTGCTTGCTTTGGCGGGCCCTGGTGGCAACGTGCAGAAAGGCCAAGGGAAATGTTTAACAAAACATGTTTTCTAGGCCTGCATGGCGGCATCTGAGACCATAATATTAGTAATTTTAAAAATTTAGTAATAAGAATAACCAAATAGGAAAATATGAAATCAAAATATGTATAATTTGAGGGGGTGCAAAAACTTTTTTGGGGCGGTGCCAAATGCCTCGGCCAAATGCCTCGGGG